CCAACCTGAGCAAGAGTGAACCCTTCTCTACTAAAAAGAAGAAAATTAACTGCGTAACAAATACATAAAAAATCAACCAGGCATGTGGCTTGTACATGCCGTAGTCCCAGCTACTCAGGGGCTGAGGCAGGGGACGTTGAGCCACAGGAGGTTTGAGGTTGCTGTGAGCTAGGTGACGCCACGGTATCACGTAAGCTGGCAACATATGATGCTCTGTCTCAACAAATAAAATAAATAAACTAAAATAAATGGCTTTATGGGAATTAACTCTTTGGATTTTCTTCACAACACTAAGGATAGAGAAGAAACCACTGGATTTGGTGACACAGAGGTCAAATGAAAGGATCCTTCATTCCATAATAATTATTAAGTCCTGACTTGTCCCAGGCATTGAGGATAAAAGACAAAGGGCCTGCCCTAACAAGAGCTTAATGTAAACAAGTAAACGAATAGAAACATAATATAGTCAGGTAAGTGTCTTAAGGAAAATGAACAGGGCCTGGCACAGTGGCTCATGCCTGTAATCCTAGCACTCTGGGAGTCTGAGACGGGAGGATGGCTGAACTCAGGAGTTCGAATCAGCCACAAGAGTGAGACCATCTCTACTAAAACAGAAAAAATTAGCCTGGTAACTAAAAAGAGAAAATAACAGAGATATGTGGTCTGTAATGCCAGTAGGTCCCAGTACAGGAGCTGGGAGGCTGAGGCAGGAGGATTGCTTGAGCCCAGGAGTTTGAGGTTGCTGTGAGATAGGCTAATGCCACAGCACTCTAGCCCAGGTGACAGAGCAAGACTCTGCCTCAAAACAAAACAAAACAAAAAAAAAGGTCACCATCAGGAAATGGATAAAAGTTACAATTTGCTAATAATTTGGACGCAAGGTGTAAGAGAAAAACAGGTGTCAAAAATGATTCCAACGTTTTTGGCAGCCTGGATGAATGAAAAGTGGTACCATTTGCTGAAATGAGGAACAATGAGGGAAAAACAAGTTTGGGTGCAGAAGTAAGAGTTCAGTTATGGACATGTTAAGTTATACATGCCTAACAGATACTCAAACAGGGATGTTAAATAGACAACTAGTTTTAAAACTTTGGAATTCAGGGGAGAAACTGAGGCTAGAAATAATTCAAGAAGTTACCAGCATATAGTTAAAACCATGGTACTGATGACAACATCCAGAGAATAAGGGAAGTTCTAGAAGAATTTGAGCCAACTAAGCCATCAGTCACTTCAACCAAAGGCTGGTAAGAGGAGGATTCAGCAAAGCAAACCGAGTTAGGAACAATGAAGAAGTTAGGACAATGGAGGCAGTAGTATCCCGGAAGTCAAGTCAAGAAAGTCTTTGGCCGGGCGCGGTGGCTCACGCCTGTAATCCTAGCACTCTGGGAGGCTGAGGCGGGCAAATAGCTCGAGGTTAGGAGTTCGAAACCAGCCTGAGCAAGAGCGAGACCCCGTCTCTACCATAAATAGAAAGAAATTAATTGGCCAACTAATATATATAGAAAAAATTAGCCAGGCATGGTGGCACATGCCTGTAGTCCCAGCTACTCGGGAGGCTGAGGCAGGAGGATCGTTTGAGCCCAGGAGTTGGAGGTTGCTGTGAGCTAGGCTGACGCCACGGCACTCACTCTAGCCTGGGAAACAAAGTGAGACTCTGTCTCAAAAAAAAAATAAAAAGTATTTTAAGAAGTAAGGAGTGAAGGTGTCAAATGAGTAAGATGAGGATGAAAACTAGCCATTGAATTTGGTAAGGCAGAGGTCATTGTGACATCAGCTATAGCAAACTTCAGCTCAGTGGAGGGGATGAAAAATTCATTTAAGTGGTTCTCAGTAGACTAGGAAAAGAGGACATGGAGATAATAACATACAGACAACTCATTTTTCCTCTAAAGCAAAGCAGAGAAACAGGGTCCCTAGAAGGGTACATGGGGTTAAGGGAAGATTAGGGTATTTGTGGGGTTTTTTGAGATATGAATTAGTGTGCATGTTTATATGCCAATGGGAATGATCTAGTAGAGAGGGGAACTCCATTGTTACAAAAGAATAGAAAAATTAGCTGGGCATGGTGGTGTACAGCTACAGTCCCACTTACACCGGGGCCTGGGGCGGGAGGATCTCTTGAGCCTAGGAATTTGAAGCTGCAGTGAGCTATGTAAATACCACTGTACTCCAGCCCAGGCAACAGAGAGAGATCCTGTCTTAAAAAGAAAAAAAAGTTACATGGGATGGAATCCAACATGTAGACTGAAGGAATGGCCTTTACTAGGAGCAAGGACAGTTCGTCCATTATTAGCAGGAGAAAAAGTGGAGTATATATGTGTAGATGCTGGTAGTTTGGTAGATTTCATGTTGGAAAGATATGAAGATCTTTTGTGATTTCTATTCTCAGTGGGGGGAAAAAAGTAAAATCAGTGAAGGGTGAGGAAGGAAGAAGGGATGTAAGAGGTTTAAGGAAAGAGAGCACTGACCATGATTTCTGGGACATTTGGGAAATGAATTGACTGGGAAAATGTAGTTCGATTGCCAAGCAGCACTGAGAGCCCACTTGAAGTTCAGGGCATGAATTCAAAGGTCAGTCAGCATAGCTGTATGCCTTTCTTTCGTCATTATCTGTTTTCACAAGTGCAAGCAAGAGGTGGATTTAACCAGGCAAGAATGACAGAGGGAGAGGGAGACAAGGGAGTGATTCCATTGGTGGTCCATGGAATATAAGGCGAGTAAGGAGAAACAGACAGACATAAGATAGTGATATGTAATGAAAGGTTTAGTAGAATCACTGGATTAGAAGTCCCTTTGAAGCTGAAAATTTGATAAGGGGTTCATGGAAGAGTGAGCTGGAAAGATATGACATGGTTAGAGATTAGAGTGCTTGAAATAGAGATTCTGGAAATAGTACAGCAATTGCTAAGGGCTAGGTAGCGGGTGCCTAAGACAGAGTGGAGAACAAGATCATTCGAAGTATGGTCAAAGGATCATACTCAGGTCAAAGAACTGAGAAGCCACATGGACCATCCACATGGACCATCTGCAAGGCTATGAAATCTCCACACATGATGACAGGGGTGGCAATGGAGAGAAAGGCAGGAAGTAAACCAGAGCCATTTCAGTGGAGTAGAGAGAAAAGAAGCCTAGCCAGGGTCTTTGGAGAGAATGAGAGGTGAGGAAATGGAGTCAACGAGTCTAGATAACTCTTTTGACAAGTTCTGCAGGGAAGGAGAACAGAAAAATGGTGGTGATGGTGGGGGAAGGAGGGGTCAGAAGAAGACACAGGGTCAAGGGTTATTTCAAGGTGGGAGATTCTAGAGTACATGCTCATGAGACTGACTTATTAGAAACGAGAAATTGATGCTTCAGGAGAGAGGGGATAACTGTAGGAACAAAGTTCTTCAGGAGACAAGAGTGGAATCTGAAGCACAAGTGAAGAATTTTACTTTTTACCAAAAAAAAGAGAAAAAAAAAAGCATAATTCTTCCCTGAATCACGAGAAAAGGCAGAATCCATGGGTACAGATGTGGGTAAAGTAATAGACTCATGATAAGAACATAAGGGAGTCCATGATTGATCACTTCTATGTTCTCAATAAGGATGAGGCAAAGTCTTCAGCTGGTAAGGGTTAAAGGTGTGAAGGTTAGAGGAGACATAATGGCATTTAGTCATCATCTCAGAGACTGGGAGAACTAACTTGGCAGGTGAATGGAGTGAGCTTGCTAGCCAGCGCCGAATGACCAACTGAGATGAAATTGAAACAGACCAGTATGATTATGCAATTCTGTACGGCAAGACCCAACTGCTTAGGTGTAGGAAGAGAGTAGAAGGATGGCTGAGTTTAACCGGGGTTGGGGTTTTCTCAGAAGTACAGGGGATAGCCCCAGGGTCAAGGGAGGTGAGACATGGAAGGGAACAACTGGGCCACAGAATCGAGGCCGGAGAAGGAGGAGTCAGTAAGAACATTAGAGACAACCTGGTCATCAAAGGACCAGAGGTGCAATGTGGACAAAGAATTGTGTGGGGCAGTATCAGCAGTGAGGGGTCAAAAGTGGACTAGTGTGGTCAGAGCAAGGATGTTTGTACCCAAGTCCCAGCAGCCCTGCTACCTTGTGAACTTGGTGAGGACTGAACATATAGTGAGCGCTTAGTAGATGTTCACGTTAAGTATTTGCCCAGTGAATGTTTTGTTTCCACATGGGGCCATGTGCCAAACACTGACAAAAATATCCTACCCTCAAGGATCCCTTCGTTCAATTGGGGAGAAAGATAAATGATGTAATAAAAGATCTTACCACCAACTGATTTTTTTTTTTTTTTTGAGACAGAGTCTCACTCTGTTGCCTGGGCTAGAGTGCCGTGGCATCAGCCTAGCTCACAGCAGCCTCAAACTCCTGGGCTCAAGTCATCCTTCTGCCTCAGCCTCCCGAGTAGCTGGGACTACAGGCATGCGCCACCATGCCCAGCTAATTTTCTCTATATATATTAGTTGGCCAATTAATTTTTCTATTTATAGTAGAGACGGGGTCTCGCTCTTGCTCAGGCTGGTTTCGAACTCCTGACCTCAAGCGATCCGCCCTTCTCGGCCTCGCAGAGTGCTAGGATTACAGGTGTGAGCCACCAAGCCCGGCTCAGAAGATCTTAAGTGCTATAATAAAGGTAATGTTCAAAGTGCAACCCAGACGGATGCAATGGCTAACTGTAGAGAAGAATTAAGAAGGGCTTCAAAAGGAGGTAACAATAGGCCATCAGGATGGCTGGGGGTCATCAGGTGGCAGTGGGAGTGACACGATTCAGTTTCTGTCGTTATCAGCGTGTCCATTTCCCAGTGGAGTCGCTCCAAGTGCAACGCGACATGACTGCAAAGCAACAGGTAAATGATGCAAGAGTTAAGTTCCTTTAAAACACCAAGTTCTTGCGTGCAAACCTTCACCTTGGAACCCCGTCCCGGGCGGGGTGGGGTGGGGTGGCGTGGGGTGAGCGAGGAAGCGGGGGCGGGGCGGGGGAGCACCTACCGCGCAGGGAAGACCGCTGAGGCCGCGCCGGGGCTCTGGTGATCAGAGACGGGGAGATCATCACTGCCGTCCCGGGAGGAAACTGGATTTCTTCGACCTGGATGGACTTGCGGGGCTGGTGGGGCTTACGGGCCTTGCGGGCCTTGTGGGCCTTGTGGGACGCGCGAGGCGCACGCGGCTCGTAGGGCTTGTAGTGGCCGTGGGGCTCATGGGGCTCGCAGGGTCCATAGGGCTCGTCGGGCTCGTCGGGCTCGTCAGGCTCGTCGGGCTCGCAGGGCCTGTGGGGCTCGTAGGGCTCGTAGGGATCGCAGGGATCGCAGGGGTCGCAGGGGTCGTAGGGGTCGCAGGGGTCGCAGGGGTCGCAGGGATCGCAGGGATCGCAGGGGTCGCAGGGGTCGCAGGGATCGCAGGGGTCGCAGGGGTCGCAGGGATCGCAGGGGTCGCAGGGGTCGCAGGGGTCGCAGGGGTCGTAGGCTCCGCCGGACTTGCGGGGCCTGCCGGACTCATCACGCCCCTTGCGCCTGTCTCGCCGGTCGTGCTCGCCCGCCTTCTCCGGCGCCTCCGCGTCCTCCTCAGACTCCCTCATGTCCTGCATGTTGCGGATCTTGAGCACAAGGGGCCTGCGTACATCTGTCGTCGCCTGCTCATCGGTCACTTCGGTCAGCGCGGAGGGGCCTGACAACTCTCGGCTCTCCATTCCCGCCTGGAGCTTCCGTGGCGCCGGCCGCTCACCCTCCCCGCTGCTGCGCACCGGGCGCTCTCGGCTCCTCGCGCTGCCTGACAGGGAGGGTGCCCGCCCCGCCCCCGGCCCCGCCCTCAGTCCCGCCCTCGGCCCCGCCCCTGGTCTCAGTTCCGCCCTCGGCCCCGCCCCCGGCCCCGCCCTGCGCGTCGTCCTGTTGCCAAGGGGACACGCGGCGCTCGCTGGCTGGCTTGGGGCGCAACCCCCCACAGAGAAAAGCCCCAGACCGGTCAGCGGGGACAGGGGGCGGCATCCTGACCCTGTTTCCTGTGTCAAGGGCGCGCACTTCCGCATGTTCTCAGGCGCCGAGGACCTTCCAGACTGGAAGTCTGGGCCGCAGAGCCAGGTCTCTGTTGGGCTTTAGAGCTCCTGTGAACACGCATTTGTCCCCTAATCATGCTGGGAGGGGACGCTGAGATTGACAGCATCGCAAGGCCCTCAATCACTAATTCTCATTTCCGTCAGTTTCTAGTACCTGCGTCTCATTACACGGCACACCATCCACGGAAGTGTGCTAGAAATCATTGTTTTTAAAAGCCTGTAATTATCTTGTGAACAGCACAACTGTGTGCTGTGCGTGTGTTATTAACTGTGGTATCTTTTAAATATAATATACCACAATTTTTGTAACCCTGTTTTTGATACACGTCCCTCTGGTTTTTATCATCATTATCTAATACCAAGAGATTTTAAATATTTAAGTGGCTTGGGCCTCTCTCAATCCCTGACGGGTACTTTCAGCTGATTTTCACCGCCTGGCAGTGTGGTAGAAGCATCCAGAAGCAGTGGAGTTTCGGTGAGGTGTTTATTTTCAAGGGAAGGGACTAGAGGGATGAAGGAATAAGTCATCCGTTAAAGTATACAGTAAACCCCTTTTGCACATTACTGGGTACTCCTTGGATATACTTTGTCTCGTAGATGTGAAAAACGAGTTAAAAGATAAATACTTTAGGGACTGTGGATGTTATTCAAAATGGAACTTGGAAGTTTATTCTAGGTTATCCATGTATGAATCAGAAATCTTCAAACTCACTTTGATATAGACATATGTAGTACCATACAGAGATTCAAGAAATAGCCCCCAAAACTTGGGAAAAGGAGAAATAAAGCTCCCCTCAGAGAGTTTTAACTCAACCTGGGAACAATCAGGGAAGAATTATGTAAATTCATCTTAAAGATACTGGATGGCCCCTAAATCAGTAAAACTAGCCCGCCACTAAATGAATGACTTCAAATATCCGAAGAACATGTCAACTGAAGGAGGGGCCTTCAGCCCACAGTGAAATGTCCAGGAGAAGAGTCATAGAGGCTGTGGTGGGTTCAATAACTGTAGAAAGGAAAGGACCTCGCCCAACAGACGGCAACTGTTACAGCCTGCCCTTCAGGCCCTCTTGAGGGGGATGTGTGGCCTGGTGCCATTATACACCCAAAGATCTATGCTCACCAGGCAACTTTCTGACATGACCCATCATTGTGTGATCTGCTCCCCCTAGGCCAGACAAGAAGGCTTGACATTAGACACCTGAGTGACTGTCGTCATAGGATACCATTAACCCTTTGTACTCACTTGCTTTTTCCTCGGTTCCTTTATTCTACTCGGGATTTAATTTTTTAAATACCCCAGATTTTACAAAGCGCGGCAGTAGAGTAAAAAACTGGAGTTTCTTTTCATACAAACTTATTTATTTGGATTTTTTTTATATTTCAAATTATTGATACATTCAAAGAGTAATTTTAATCTCTATAATTTTTGCTAACCGTGTTGTCACACTCGACATCCGAGTGCAAAGGGTTAAACATAATCTTTCAGCACTATGAGAAAGGTAGCAACCTCAAAAGACACACACTCCAATGTCTCATCTCTCAGAGGGCAAGTATCATTTTGCATATGCACGTGTAAGTTTAATTAGGTTCCATTTTAACCTAAAACTTGATAGAGACAGCTATGTGCTAACATTGAGAGGGATTAACAGTCTTCACCATATTTGGATTTTTATTTCAACATAGATTCCAATTTTTAAAAGGAAGGATTTATAGAACAAACTCTCTTTCCAAATATTTTTTGGTAGAGATGGACTCTTGCTATGTTGCTGAGGCTGGTCTCCAACTCCTGGGCTTAGGCAATCCTCCCACCTCAGTCTCTGAAAGTGCTGAGATTACATGAATAAGCCACTCTAAATTTTGTCCCTCTAAATTTTTTTAAGGCAAGGTAAATATAGGTATCACTCTTAACAAAATATTTATAGTAAAGAAAGCTTATCCATATATAAAAACAAATTGTTAAGAATTTTTTTTTTTTTTGAAAGAGTCTCATTTTGTTGCCCAGGCTACAGTGAGTGCCATGGCATCAGCCTAGCTCACAGCAACCTCAAACTCCTGGGCTCAAACGATCCTACTGCCTCAGCCTCCCGCGTAGCTGGGACTATAGGCACGTGCCACCATGCCCAGCTAATATTTTCTATCTATATTAGTTGGCCAATTAATTTCTTTCTATTTATAGTAGAGACAGGGTCTTGCTCTTGGTCAGGCTGGTTTCAAACTCCTGACCTCGAACAATCCGCCCCCCTCGGCCTCCCAGAGCGCTAGGATTACAGGCGTGAGCCACCGCGCCAACTGGGCCAATTGTTAAGAATACTTAAGAATTTTAAAAACAAATTCCCATAATGTCCCTCATCTAGTCTAATAGGCTCCTAGAAGAGAAGACTTTCTTAACTCTTTCTGAATGCTGTTAATTTTCATTTCTCTGAGGGTTTGACAGAGCTCACTTTCCGCATTATCCTATCCTCATATATCTTTACTACAAGCTTAAATGGATCCAGTTAAAGGAGAGACACTTGGATTTTGACTTGAAAAGAGAAGATTTATTCAAATATTTTCATATAAATTTCACAACATCAAAAAATCATAAATGGGTAACGGCTTGCTAATGCTCATTTTATTTTTGTTCATTAAAAATCTCAATTTCTCTTAAGCACATTGTTTTATAAATATTTATGATGTTCAAAAATCTAAATAAGGAGATGCTCTTAATAAATTAGCATGATCTTTGTACAGTTGTCTCTCGGTATCTTCAGGGATTGGTTCCAGGATCACCATAGGTATCTGAGGATGCTCAAGTCCTTTATGTAAAATGACTTAGTATCTGCATGTAACTTACGTACATCCTCCTGCATACTTTAAATCAGGGGTCCTCAAACTTTTTAAACAGGGGGCCAGTTCACTGTCCCTCAGACCATCGGAGAGTGCGGCGCACATTCCACACATGCGCACTGTGGACCTGGGACGAGTCGGCTGCTAAGCAGGACAGGCAGTGGTGGCAAAAACACCCAGCAGGCGGGATAAATGTCCTTGGCGGGGGCATGTGGCCTGCAGGCCATAGTTTGAGGACACCTGCAATCATCTCCAGATTACTTATAATACCTAATATAATGTAAATGCTATGTATTAATGGCTATAACACTGTATTTTTTAAACTTGTATTCGTTTTTTGTTTTTGAGACAGAGTCTCCTTCTGTCACCTTGGGTAGAGTGCAGTGGCATCATCAAAGCTCACTGTAACCTCAAACTCTTGGGTTCAAGGGATCCTCCTTCCTCAGCCTCCCGGGTAGCTAGGACTACAGGCATTCGCCACCATGCCCAGCTATGTTTTCTATTTTTTATAGTGATGAGGTCTTGCTCTTGCTCAGGCTGGTCTTGAACTCCTGACCTCAAGCGATCCTCCCATCTTGGTTTTCCAGAGTGCTTAGGATTATAAGCATGAACCCCCACACCTGGCCATACTGTTATTTTTTATGGGCTTTTTTTTCCCCAAAACATTTTTGACTCACAGTTTTTTAATCTGTGGATATGGAACCCACAGATAGGGACATCTGACTATATGTATACCATACATAGAGAAAATAGGAAATGGCTTATTTTTTATTTGAAAGAAGCCTTTGGCTAAGCCTGCCATTCAACACTCTCTGATGACAAATCGATCATGAGCCACACAGTGGGCCTGTTCCTGGTCACTGTATTTCTGCAGCCAACTGTGCAATCAAGTCTTTGGCATCTTGCATGGTGGAGGGTATCTCTGAGCCATTCTTAGTCAGGTGGGTTCCAAACAAGAACATCTTCCTGTCATTTCCCACTTCAGATAATGCCAAAGCTTCATGAATATCTGTAATGTGATAGGCTGTTTCAAGATCCTTCACCCAGCGTGGAAAAAGAATAGGAAAACGTTAGTTATTTGATAATCTTTTTGTATAGATACATTTATTACTCTTATTTATTGCTCTCAGTGACTCCACCATTTTCAAAAAAATTTTATTATCATTATTATTTTTGGAAACAAGGTCTTCCTTTGTTGACCAGGCATGAGGGCAGTGGTGTGATCATAGTTCACTGCAGCCTCAAACTCCTGGGCTCAAGTTGATCCTCCTGCCTCAGCTTCCTGAATACCTGGGACTACAGGTGCACACCACCATATCTAGCTAATTTTTCTACTTTTTGTAGAGATGTGGTCTCAATATGTTGCTCAGGCTAGTCTTGAACTCTTGACCTCAAGCAATCCTCCTGCCTTGGCCTCCCAAAGTGCTAAGATTATAGACATTAGCTACCACGCCTGGCCTGACTCCACCATTTTAATATAGATGATATTGTGATCCACTATTATGACCCCAGTGGTTGTTTGAACATAATATTTTCATCAGAATTATGCCAATACTTACGAGTTATCAAAAAAAGTATTTTCTGGAATGAAGCTAATATAATACCTTAATTTTCTAAAGAGTACCAGTTAATCTGTTTCTAATTTTGTTTTTCCATTTTCCTTTTAATTTTCCAGAATTATTTTCTTTCTTTCTTTTTTCAGACAGAGTCTCAACTGTTACCCAGGCTAGAGTGCTGTGGCATCAGCCTAGCTCACGGCAACCTCAAACTCCAGGGCTCAAGCGATCCTTCTGTCTCAGTCTCGAGTAGCTGGGACTACAGGCATGCACTACCATGCCCGGCTAATTTTTTCTATATATGTTTAGTTGTACAATTAATTTCTTTCTATTTTTAGTAGAGACCAGGTCTCGCTCTTGCTCAGGCTGGTTTCGAACTCCTGACCTCGAGCAATCCTCCTGCCTTCCCAGAGTGCTAGGATTACAGGCGTGCACCACTGCGCCCAGCCTAGATGTATTAATCTTAAACTAGAATATTCAAACTTTTCAACATTAAGGCCCAATAAAAGTTATAAATTTGACAACAAATGGCTCTGTTTATTTAATCTGATGAAGATAAGAGACACAAACCACAAAGAACAGCATTGATAAATTTGATTATTTTTTGGTGTTTTTTTAGAGACAAGGTCTTGCTATGTTGCCCAGGCTGGTCTTGAATTCCTGGCCTCAAGTGATCCTCCCACATTGGCCTCCCAAAGTGCTGGGATTACAGGCATGAGCCACCATGCCTGGCCAAATTTGACTGTTAAATATAGAAATCTTCTATATAAAAATGGAAACCATAAGCAAAGTAAAATGATAAGCTACCAGGATGCTGTAGAAGATATTTGTAATGCATATAACTAACAAAGGATTATTTTTTTCAAAAGATATGAAAGACTCCTAAAACTTAAATAAGAAAAGATACACATCCCAGTAGGAATTGGAGAAAGATTTTAATAGGCAATTCACATATATGGAGATCTTTAACTAATAATTATCCTAAAAGATGTTCAAACTCACTAGTAATTAAGGAAATGCAAATTAGAACAAAAAAAGAAAAAACAATCTCACCCCAGGAGATTGGCAAAAATGAAAAAGTTTGATAATACCAAGTATTGACAAGAATATAGGGCTGTAAAAATTGTCATATTCTGCTGGTGGAAGGATAAATTGATACAACATCTTTGGAAAGCAACTTGGTGATATCTAATACAACTGAATATGCACAAATGCAAAAACCCAACAATTCTTCTTTTGGTAAATGCACTAGAGAAATGTTCATACACATCTACAAGGAGACACATACATGAAAGTTCACTGCAATATTGGTTATAACAATGAAAAATTGGAAACAATTTCCAAATTTCCACGTTGTTTCCCAGCAACAAGAAAATGATAAAACTGTGGCATATTCATGCAATGGAATAGTATACAGCTCACTGGCATGGACTGTGATCTTCTAAATCTCTGTAGTTTATGGTACTTAAGATGCTCCACTTAAAAAAGCAAAACAAAAAAAGCATCAGCCTTTCTTTTAAAATGCCAGGAGAATGTCAAAACCTGCTGGACTAGCTTCTATATTGGACTCTAACATAGCCTCCTACTTTAGGTCATCCTTTATAATCTGTTAGTATACTTCCATAACATTCACCCATAGAAGTGGTGGGAGAAAAGAACAGAGCTCTACTATGATTGGCAAACCTAGCAACTGAGAAAGGGGCTTTGGAATTACGATATTATGGATGTTAACATTTTTTCACTTTTTTTTATTGTGTTAAATACACATAATAAAATTTTCCAGCTCAACCATTTCTAAGGTCAGTGGCATTAAGTACATTTGCACTGTTGTGCAACCATCACCACTCTCCATCTCCAGAACTCTTTTCGCCTTGCAAAACTGAAACTCTGTCTCCATGAAATGGTAATTCCCTATTCCTCCCTATCCTAGCCTCTACAGCCACCCCTCTACAATCTCTCTCTGTGAATTTGACTACTTTAGGTACATAAGTGGAATCATATAGTATCTGTTCTTTTGTGACTGGCTTATTTCACTTACCATAATGTCCTCAGGGTTTCAAAAGCCCCAATCGTTGTAAGCATGTTCAGAATTTTCCTGCCGCTTTTTAAGATCTGAAAAACCAATTGCCACTTTCCATAGGATACATAACACATTTTGTTTATCCATTCATGGATACTTGGGTTGCTTCCACCTTTTGGCTATTGTGAAATAATGCTTTTGCTGATGAACATAGGCGGGGGGGGGGCTGTTAAAACAAAAAAATACCTAATTTTTACGTTCCCCCTTGCTTTTTACCAAATCCTTTGAGTAGTTTATACCCAGAATGGAATGTTTGAATCATTATGGGAATTCTTTTTTAAATGTTTTTAATTTTTTAATTTTTATAAAGCATTTTATTAATTACCAAAGAACGTTTGCCTTATTGTTAAATTTCTGAGGAACCACCACATTGTTTTTTTCCCATAAGGAGCCTGCCAATCGTTTTTACTTTTTTATTTTTGCCGGAACAGAAAGTTTGCTTCAACTTGTTGAGTGAGTGCCAGGCTAGGAGTGAGCTGCCGTGGCGTCCAGCTAGTCACAGCCAACCTCCCAACTTCCTGGGTCAAGCCATTTTCCTTGCTTGCCTCAGCTGCCTTCCCGAGTTTAGCTAGGGACTACAGGCATGCGCCCACTATGCCCGGCTAATTTTTTCTGTATTATTATTAAGGTTGGCCAGATTAATTTCTTTTTTGCTAATTTTAGTAGAAGAGAATGGGTTCTTGCCTTCTTTCTTCAGGCTGCGTTTTCAACACTCTCTGGGAACATTGAGCCTAATTCCGTTCCGCCTCGGCCAATTTGCCAGAGTGCTTAGGGATTTAAACAGGTGTGAAGCCACGACTCCCGGCCTAGTATAACATCGTTTTTACATTCCCACCAACAGTGCATGTTTAATGTCTTTAATGCATGTTGTGAAAAATAAAAAATTTCAGTTCTAAAATCAATTCTAAAAAAAACAAAACAAACTTCTTTTGTTGCTTTTTGTTGGGTTTTCTTTTTTTATTTCGGCATTATTATGGGGGGTTACCCAATTTTAAGGCTTTCAATAAAATTGCGCCCTTTCCCCCCTCCCCTGACCAAGTTCCAAGATCCAACATGACCATCCCCAGATGCGTTCACAAATTCTCAACTCAATTAGTTGTATATTACCCAACTTTTTTCCCCCTTCCCCCAAAATATGGTGAAAAACAATTTTCTTTTAAAACAAGGTAGCCCCCACTAACTATTTTGTTGAATTCAATTCAACAAATTCCAAATAGTAGTTTAATGAAATAAGTTAAAAACACACATTTGGTGTCAAATTTTCTTAAAACTATTGCCAAACCAAAGCCGTAGACTTAGGTTTACAAAGACACAAAAAAAAAATTAATAATAAGTTCTCTACCCTCAAGGAGCTTATAATCCAGGATATCAAATAAATACAAATTGCAATATAGGGGCATTATTGTTTGAAATATTACATATTGCCCCATCGAAAAGTTAAGACATTTCAAGCCGTCGGCACGCGGTGGGCTCACACCTGTAATCCTAGGCACTCTGGGAGGCTGAGTGCGGGGCGGATTCGCTCGAGGTCAGGGAGTTTGAAAGCCAGCCTGAGCCAAGGCAAGACCGCTGTCTCTACTATAAATAGAAGAAATTAATTGGCCAACTAATATATATAGAAAAAATTAGCCGGGCATGGTGGCGCATGCCTGTAGTCCCAGCTACTCGGGAGGCTGAGGCAGGAGGATCGCTTGAGCCCAGGAGTTTGAGGTTGCTGTGAGCGAGGCTGACGCCACGGCACTCACACTAGCCTGGGCAACAAAGCAAGACTCTGTCTCAAAAAAAAAAAAAAAGACATTTCTTGTATTAATTTCTTATATTGTATTAATAAAGATACTATTGAGTACAATTTATATTTGCACAGATTTTTACCTGTTTGTTTGCAAACACAACCAGAGGAAGGACTGGGTTTGCTCCAATTAGTTGATGAAGGTATTTCTTTGCTTCAGGCAATCGGTTGTGATCTGCTGAATCCACCACAAAGATCAACAGCAAACCCCTGGACAGGTATGTTTCCCAGTAGGAACGGAAAGGTTCACTGCCACCAACTACAGAGAACAGTTAAGGAAAAAGACAGACAAAAAAAAGAAAAATCACAGAAGCATTCACTGAGTGGGCAAGGCAAATCTAGATTTCACTGGATAGGTGTTCTGATAAAAAATACCACCATGCTATAGTGTACCCGATTCTAAGAGTGACCAGAGGAAATTGATGTACACATTTGTATATGTAGGAAACAGAAAAACAATTTCACTTTTTTCCATGGTGTCCCTGCACTATTTATTGAATAGTCTCTTCTTTTCCCAGTGGACTTTCTCTCTAGGTCTGTTCATTTGGTTATTTTGTTCATCCTTGTGCCAATAGCACACAATCTTAATTTTATAGCTTTATAATAATATTTGATATTTGACAGGACAACTCAACCTTTCTTATTTATTTCTTCAAGAGTGTTTTGGCTTTCTCCACATCTTTGCTCTTCTATGTAAATTGTAGCCTCACTTGTCAAACTTCTTAAGAAAATCTTATTGGGATTTTTACTGAAATTGAATGGTATCCAAACATCAATTCGGGGAGAATTAATATCTTTTTGATGTAATGTCTATCTATCTATGAAAACTGTATTATGTCTCCATTTATTTAGGTCTTCTCCCAGTGTTTTTCAATGATATCTACCAATTCTCTCCATATAGATAGGTACATTTTTTGTTAGATTTATCTCTATGTAAATTATATTTTTGTTGCTATTGAAAAATGGTATCTTTTAAAAAATTATATTACTGTATGTAGTGATAATAGAAATGTAATTAATTTTCCTTCTTTGAGATGGGGTCTTTGCTCTGTTACCCAGGCTAGAGTGCAGTGGCATGGCCCACTATAACCTCATACTCCTGAACAAAAGCAATCCTCCAGGAAGAGGAAGAGAAAGGAAGAGAGGAAGAGAAAGGAAGAGAAAGAGAGAGACAGAGAGAGAGAGACAGACAGACAGAGAGAAAGAGAGAGAGAAAGAGGGAGGGAGGAAGGAAGGAAGGAAGGAAGGAAGGAAGGAAGGAAGGAAAGAAGGAAGGAAGGAAAGGAAGGAAAAGGAGTGCAATATACTGGAGTAAGGTTAAAGAGGAGGCAGTTTATAAAGGGCCTCCTGAGCCATCACAAAGACTCTGGATTTTATCCCAAGTATGTGATCTCCATTGAAGAGTCTTAAATTAGCAAATAATGTGCTTAAATGTATGTGTTAAAATATTTCTCTTCATAAATGGATGAAAGCAAAAATAAAAAGGTGACTCCAATAATTTAAGTAAGAGATGATGGAGGGTCCAACCCATATGGGGGCAGTGGAAAAGGATGTAACTGATTAATTCAGACAGGCTTTGGAGATAGAAAAATTCATAGTGCTTTACTTGTGGACTGGCAGTGGGGATACAGGAGGAATCAAGGGGGACTCCTAGTTTTCTGGCTAGAGCACGTTGATGGTTGCAGAACCATTTGTTGACCAGAAGACTACAGGGAAAGGAACAGATACGGGAAAAATGAAGCATTTTGTTTTGACCATGTTAGGTTCAAGAAGCCAATTAGAAATCGAGGTGGAGATGTAAGGAGACATTTTTGGATATGATTTGGTTTCAGGCGTCCTCAAACTACGGCCCGCGGGCCACATGTGGGTGTTTTTGCCCATTTGTTTTCTGACTTCAAAATAAGATATGTGCAGCGTGCATAGGAATTTGTTCATAGTTTTTTTCAAACTATAGTCCGGCCCTCCAACGATCTGAGGGACAGTGAACTGGCCCCCTGTTTAAAAAGTTTGGGGACCCCTGGGTTGGATAGATAAATTTGGGAGTCATTAGCATATAGATGGTATTTAATGCCATGAGGATGAATGAAATCATCCAAGGAGAGAATGTAAAGAGAAGACAAGAGGACCTGCCCCAGCTCTCGGGTTCAGCAATATGTAGAGAGATGGTAACTTCAGAATTACTATTCAGTAATTACTATTCAGTAATTCAGTAAGTACTATTCAGTAATTACTATTCAGAGGGCTTCTGGACTGCTCTCTAGTTTTAAGAAGAGATTTGAGACTCATCTATAATTTTGTTTGCAGAGAAAGGAGCACACTATACTTAGATTGGATGTTTAATTGCAGTAGTGTGGGAAGGAGGAGGCTGATTATAGGAGGTTACAGGAGGGGTGCTAAAGCCTTCTTCTAAATCCCTGTTATCACCACTGCAAAAAGGAGCAAACTAAAAAAGCAGAAAGTGCTTTTCCCTCACACATTGCACGCTAGTATTAAACAACACACACATTCTAAAAGTCTAGGGGAAGGCTGGGGCGGTGGCTCACGCCTGTAATCCTAGCACTCTGGGAGGCCGAGGCAGGCGGATTGCTCGAGGTCAGGGGTTCAAAACCAGCCTGAGCAAGAGGGAGACCCCGTCTCTACTATAAATAGAAAGAAATTAATTGGCCAACTAATATATACAGAAAAAATTAGCCGGCATGGTGGCGCATGCCTGTAGTCTCAGCTACTTGGGAGGCTGAGGCAGGAGGATTGCTTGAGCCCAGGAGTTTGAGGTTGCTATGAGCTAGGCTGACGCCACGGCACTCACTCTAGCCCAGGCAACAAAGCGTGACTCTGTCTCGAAAAAAAATAAAAGTAAAAATAAATAAATAAAAAATAAAAGTCTAGGGAAATTTGATCTGGTGTTAGTTTTTATAAGGACCCAATGTCGGTAACATCATGTATGGCTTAAGACACAATGAAATGTGGCTATCCTGTAACTCATGAGAAAGGGCTTACTCTCCAGGAATTCCATCTGGCTGTCTTCAATGTTGATGCAAACTGCATTGAAACCTTGGGTGGGGGCCACACTGTGCTGGACTCTGTTTGAAGCTAGAGAGTAGAGGACACTGGTTTTTCCTGCTCCATCTAGGCCCAGCACTAGGATCTGCTTATTTTTCTCCTGTGAAACAAAAGATAAATCAATAAACCTATGCTATCAGGGCTTTGTTTTCCTGGCTCCTGGCAGTGGGCCTGCCTGGATCCAATAATACTCTTGGAATTGTAAACCAGAACAAAACTTCACAAATATTTCATATTCCTCTTTTATATTTTTTAATATAAGTATCATGATTAAACAAAAAGGCTGACATTACAGAAATTGTTAAACCAGTTCCAATCACAAATGAGTACTTGTTTTAAAACCCGATGAAATAAAAGTAAGCTTAGAAAGGAGTATTCTACCAATATACTAGCCTTAGAAATTTTTATGGCAAATGATTGAGGGACAAGAAGGGAAGGCTGATGTGAAAGTAGAAATAGAAGGTTTGGAGTGCTCATAAATATGGTTGCACATTTTAATGAAAACAATAAATGAGCAACAATACGGCCAGATTGCTCACAGGAATTCAATTCTGTTTGCCAAACAGCCTGCTAAAGAAGCTTCTCATGCACAAAAAAACACTAATAATTGTCTTTAATGGCACTGGTTTAGAAATAACAATAATCTTACACATTTCTGCTTGAACACTAAATGTTGACATTAGACGCTGACTGGATTTCTGGAAAAAAGTGATTCTAAACAGATTAGAATGTCTCTCCCACTCCCTTTTCTAAAAAGATCTATGTGAAAGTGAGATGTTTTAAGGTCTGGCCTAATAAAGACTTGTGTAGACAGCATGGTTTATGAAGGCCAAATAGTGAATAACAGAATTTGAAAAAAATTATATATTTGTTCTTGGAGCAAATTCTTGATGGCTGTTAAAGCAAATAGTATTTTCATAGGTGTTTCCTATCTCCATCCACACCTCTTTCCCACTCCCTCCATCTGAGTCTAAATGTTATAATGCCATTCTGAGAGTATGTAATGGTAAGGAAAAGAGGGGATGCACAAAGGAGATTTCATCGAATGGCTTAAAATCGCCTGCTTTAAAGCAATGGTGGCACCATGGCTGCAGGATATGAATTTTGTTCCTGAACAATCTCTACCAGGGACTCCACTCAGGCTACCCCAACACACTTCATTAATTCTAAGATGCTTATTTGTCCCTATACTTTAGTCTGTCTGAAATTAGGATGTTTTACAGTCACATAGGTCATATTTTGATTGGCAGCATTTTTTTTTCTGAGTGGTACCTAAAATAACGGCATCTTAGATCCTAAGAAATATTGTGAGTTAAAAACAATTCCCCACTCCCTTTCCAAACACATTGCTGCCCCAAAGCCCATCCTACCCAGAAATTCTGCACTCACCCATGCTTTACATTTCGTTCATATTTTTAGTCTAAAATACATCTTTCCTCATGTTTATCATTTCCTAAGAAAAGCTGAGATTATTGTAAACCAAGAGTTCATGGCCAGGCACTGTCTCATGTCTGTAATCCTAGCACTCTGGGAGACCGAGGTAGGAGGTCGATTGTGTTCAGGAGTTCAAAACAAGCCTGAGCAAGAGGAAGACCCCTGTCTCTACCAAAAATAGGAAAACTTATCTAGGCATGGTAGCACATGCCTGTAGTCCCAGCTACTAGGGAGGCTGAGGCAGAAGGATCGCTCGAGCCCAGGAGTTGGAGGTTACAGTGAGCTGTGATGATGCCACAGCACTCCACTCAGGGCGACAGAGCAAGACTCTTGTCTCAAAAAAAAAAGGAGTTCAGACAGAAAATGTGATTCTCGACATCATATGTAGTGTGATGTTTCAGCAGAGATCAAATCTCTGTTAGTCATTCAACCTGTTCAGAACCAGAGAGCAGCTCTGAGCCAAGGAGCCGGCTCAGGAACTCCAGGAGCACAGAGGCCACCAAGCTGGCCCAAACAATCGCTGGTTTCCAGGATACCTCAGTTAAAACTTTGCGACCATCCCTCCTGGGCGCTGGTGGTCTGAAAACGCCCGAGTTAGTAACCACAGCGCCCAGAGACAGGAACCAGCTAGCCCCACAACACATCCTGCTTAAATTCTGGAACCCAGCCCCCTCTGACAAAGGATGTGTTCTCGGAAAGAAAGGGTGCCGGGCGCAGGGAGGGTGTGGAGCCGGCTTCTCGGTGTTGTCAGGGGGTCCGTGCGATGGACTCAGGGGCGAAGGGTCGTTCCCCCGGCCCGGTGAAGACCCACTAAGATCCCTGGTTCCTCCGCACCAGACCCGACGAGGGTCAGGACGCGGGAGTGGGAGCAGGGCTGAGGGCGCGCGGGGCACGGGGAAAGGGGCTGGCGATGGACGGGTGGCTCCAAGCTTGGCGCGTGCCCTCCCGTCCCCAGATAGAAGCCCCCACAGGAGATCGGGTCCCTCCCGCGAGGTCGAGGCCTCGGGCGGGCGTCACAGAGCGCTGAGCGCCCTCGGGGGCCTTGGGGACGAGGGTCCCGGCGCCGGCCTCTTACCAGCGGTTCAGGCGGGGGCCTCGTCCAAGTGCTTATGTTCTTCCCTTCCTCCTCAGATTCTTCCTTCCCTTTCTTCGTCTCCTTGACTTGCTCTTTACTCTTTTTCTCTTTATCCTCCGCTTTCCTCGCACTCCGTTCCTCCACCCCGTTCCCCTTCTCCTTTTCTTTTTCCTTAATTTTCTCCTCCGACGACTTCTTTTTCTCTTTCTTTTCCTTTTCCCTGGTCTTCTCCGTCTCCTTTCCCTTCTCTCTCTTCTTCACTTTGCCCTTGTCCATCCCACCGTCCCTTGTTTCCTTCCTTCCCCCCGCGCCCGCGCCCGCGCCCTGCGACGGCTGCCCCCGGTCCGGCAGGTGTGGCCCCGCGGCGCCCGCGGCACACACGTAGGCGCGCTCGGCGCAGGCCACGCCCGCGGGCCCCGCCAGCCCGCGCGCGTCCCTCGTCCCCGTCCCTCGTCCCCGCGTCCCCGCCGCCGAGCGGCGCGGCCCTCTCTCCGGACCCGGGGCACAGCTCGGCCGGGCGGCCGCCGTTGCAGGAAGAGCGTTCCGAGGCGCCACTTGCGCCGGAGGGCCCACGATGGCGCGCGACTCCCTCGGGGCCGCGCAGGGTGTCTCAGAAACGCCTCCTCCCACGCTGGCCGCGTCCCCAGCGACCTCAGCGTCAGCCGAGGTGTGGCCGACCTGGAGAAACGCTCGGGGCGCCAGCACCCTGTACGACCCGGGAGAATTCCCGGCCTCCCCCCAGCTCGCACCTATGAGCCTGGAAGGCCAGGTCGGGTCTCTTCCTGCCCTCTGTCCCGTGTAAGCTCCACTAGGAGTGCCTAGAGGCCGCTACCTGGGTTGTTGGTTTAAGGACAGAGGAACATGGCTGAGTTCCGTTATTTTAAATTCCTGCTGCATTTCAATTTTTAAAAAAATTCTTCCCAGAGTAAAAAGACTGACAGAATCATAGCTGCCAGTAATGCCAGGTATTGAAACCCAAACTAAACAAAATAGTCTGGTCACCCCTAATGATATAATATGCAGATTAAGCACCTGGGGAGCTTTTCAAAGGTGGTGCAGTTTCTTAAACTAGTTGAGAAGCATCTGGATAGTTCCTTTTGTTATCTTGTTAAGCTTTAACCCTTTAGTTAAGCTAACAATTAAACACAATTACTTTAGAGCAATAAACTGATTTTCCTTATCAGATCTGTTTCAAACAGACTTGTAAGGAACAATGAATGAATAGCAGGTTCCAGAAGGCTTGAGTGATGCAACAGTTTTTATGGTTAGTTGTTCCCAATAGTGTTGAAAATGCTTAGTAACTTTTAAAAAGGTTTACTACTGGCTGGGCGTGGTGGCTCACACCTGTAATCCTAGCACTCTGGGAGGCCAAGGTGGGAGGCTCGCTCAAGGTCAGGAGTTCAAGACCAGCCTGAGCACAAGTGAGACACCTGGCTCCACTAAAAAACAGAAATTAGCTGGACAACTATACCAGTATAGAAAAAATTTCTATACTAGTATAGAAAAAATTAGCTGGGCATGTGGTACAGGCCTATATTCCCAGCTACACGGAGGGTGAGGCAGAAAAAATTAGCTGGGCATGTGGTACATGCCTATATTCCCAGCTACACGGAGGGTGAGGCAGAAGGATCCCTTGAGCCCAGGAGTTTGAGGTTGTTGTGAGCTAGGCTGACATCAAGGCACTGTAGCCCGGGCAACAGAATGAGACTCTATCTCAAAAATAATAATTTAAAAAAAAGATTCTTAAAAGAAAATTCTTAGATAACACCAACCATGAAGTCCTCCATAAAATGCTAACACCCCCAAACACCTTAATATTTTTACTTTAAAATGAACCACAGTGAATGGATGTATCCATATCGGCTTTTATAAATGTATAGATACACACACATATATGGAAAATATATATGTCACTGGTTAAAGACCTGTCCAAAAGAGGAAATAATTATTAGAAAGTTAATGTGCTTACACTTGACAATTATAACTCATTTATTTGAAGTTTCAGTTGGTTGCTTATTAATAACACCAATAGTTGCCAATAACAATGATCAAATAACTATAAATTTTACTGTTGTGCCTTGGGTCCAAATTTTCAACGATGGATGATTTTCACCAAGATTCTGTTGCTTGGTTAAACTAAAAAATGATTATCCTTCACCACAGAAATTTAATAGAATCCCAAATAACAAATTTACTAACAATTATCCATGTTAGTAAACAGAAACAGTAAATATATTCCTATAGGGTATATATTCAGAAGGAATAAATATCTATTACTCTTACCAAAAGACTGTTCTCTGTAGAGCTCAAAAATATTATGCCGTAATAAATCATTCTTATTTTTAAAAGATCTCTTGTTTATATGCCACTGCAGATTCTGATTATGCTATTATAAACAGAAAGGCAGCACCTCATTTCTTATCTTGTAGAGGAAAGCCTTTTTAAGAACTTTGAAGAAGTTTCAGTAGATATGGTTAGAGTCAAACACAGCAGCACTTTATTAACAAGGACGGAGTAATATGATTACAAGGAAATACTCAAGTCTAAATGAAATGATATCTTGGGCAGCATAGAATGAATACTAACAAGGGTAGGCATCCCAATGTGTCTGTCTCATAGCTGTTCAATGTGAAAGAGGCTTGTAAGCAAGGAAAGACAAGAGCAACATTTACACCACAAATTGACTATAAAATAATTATTTTGAGAAGGGTAATGAATGGTCATAATCCATAACTAGAAAGAGAAGCCATTTGAGTATCTATTAATTGGGCCAAACAGTCCTGTTGGATTTTAATACTCCCTGGTATGGAACCTGGGTACTTATTTCCTCTCTGGGTAGGAAGTCAATGTTCACGTTCTTGATAAGCGCCATTAATCTTTCTGATTGAGACAGTCCAAACCCATCTGACCTCAGAACACTGGGTCTAAGCAACATTGATATATTCTCCTTGAATTCTTTCATGGTGCTAAATCAGCACGTTACCATAATCTGAAAATTATATGGGGCACAAAGGAGCCAGATATAAATATGGAAAGTATCTCACATTCCAATAATCACATGAAGGAGATTTATGATTAAAATTATTTAAGACATTCACTTTATTTTTGTGGCCACTCAATTAAATGAAGAACACCAGTATATTAATAAGTTCCCTTTTTATCACATGATATTTCTAAATGGGTATTTTGGAATGCTCAGAAGATTCCACTTTCAGTCTCCAAAGGCCTCCTAAGACATAATTTAAAATGGGACTTGAATAGGAACAATTATTTTCAGACTCTAGTTACTGTTTAAATCCTGGGAAACCTTAGCTAACATGCCTTGTTTGTGAAACTAAAAAACATCAAATCAGCACAAGAAGATAAAGGATGCAACAGATATTAAGGAATATAAATTTATGCCCAATTATTTTCAGTACTCATAACCTGTGCAAAGCTGGGTGGTACAAGTAGGCCAAATCTCACTAGGCAGAGTTTGAGAGAGATGTTTTCCTATTTGATGCACAAGAAATTATTTTGTGAAAATATGGAGATGGAAGATGGAGTAGTTCTGTGCTTCTTGCTGTGTTACCTTTATTTATTTTCCTAGTGTCACTGAGACTAGTTTCAAAACAGCCTGCAATAAGAATGTTCTAATCACCAGCCACCTTTTCCACCTTTCTTCTTTTTCTGTTGCTGTTTCTTTTTTGTTGCTGGAGCCCCTGCAGGTTTCTGATGTCTTGGGGGTATGATGTTACTTGTAGAGGCAGATACTGTTGCTGCACTGCCAGGTCTTGGGGAGGTGGGTGGGCTGCTCACAGTTTTACTGGCATCCCTGAAATTGTCAGATCAGGTGAGTTTTGGTCATTCATATGTTCAACAAATGAAAATGCTATAAAAATATATGTACATGGATTTTACTTATCACCCCTAACACTCCCCCACACACTACTTCTTTTAAGGTGGGTTTCCCAACTCTCTCTCCATTTTTCTTTTGAGTAAAATTTTTACCATTTTATAATTTTTTTTTTCTGAGACAAGAGTCTCGCTTTGTTGCCCAGGCTAGAGTGAGTGCCATGGCGTCAGCTCATAGCAACCTCAAACTCCTGGGCTCAAGCAATCTTTCTACCTCAGCCTCCTGAGTAGCTGGGACTACAGGCATACGCCACCATGCCCGGCTAATTTTTTCTATATATATGTTAGTTGGCCAATTAATTTCTTTCTATTTATAGTAGAGACGGGGTCTTGCTCTTGCTCAGGCTGGTTTTGAACTCCTGACCTCGAGCAATCTGCCCACCTCAGCCTCCCAGAGTGCTAGGATTATACCATTTTATAATTAAAATAAAAAGTAATATATGGTACATGCAAATTTTTAGAAAGTTTAGAATATAAAAAATTTTAAATGTATAATCCTACCATGTAGAATTCATTAACATTTTTAGTACTTTGCTAGTCACATTATTTATTTATATCTATTTAGAATATGTATTTAAATGACTAAGTGTACTCAATTTCTTTCTGAAACTAGTTTTGTTTTTGTTGTTACAATACAATCAAATAGGCTGGGCGCAGTGGCTCACGCCTGTAATCCTAGCACTCTGGGAGGCCGAGGCAGGCGGAATGCTCGAGGTCAGGAGTTCAAAACCAGCCTGAGCAAGAGGGAGACCCCGTCTCTACTATAAATAGAAAGAAATTAATTGGCCAACTAATATATATATATAGAAAAAATTATCGGGGCATGGTGGCACATGCCTATAGTCCCAGCTACTTGGGAGGCTGAGGCAGGAGGATTGCTTGAGCCCAGGAGTTTGAGGTTGCTGTGAGCTAGGCTGACGCCACGGCACTCACTCTAGCCTGGGCAACAAAGTGAGACTCTGTCAAAAAAAAAAAAAATACAATCAAATAGTTTATTTACAACAGAATATGACCATACCAGAAATATATTTTCTTTCCTTTACATAAGCATATTGTAAACACTTACCAAAGATGTATCACTATAGTTCTCATACTTAAAATGTATTAACAAATTCTCACTAATAGCCTTGAGTCGATCTCAGAAAGAAACAACTATATTCTAAGTGACCTTAACTGTGGAGCAATGACTTACAGTTCAGATGAAGCTCCTGCAGTTGCTCCCTGGGTTCCTTTTCCAATCTGATCCTTCTTTTTACCCTTCTTTCTTCCTCGGTAATAAGAACGTTCCCGCATTGGGAGCCATCTTTCTGGATCTGGGGTAACCTTCGGATCATAATTCTTAGGCAGCTTTCCTGTATAACAATTGACAAAGAAGTAAAAGATGTGTCCATGATATATCTTGTATAACAATTGACAAAGAAGTAAGAGACGCGTCTATGATATATTCAAGATAGTGTGCTTAAGTAATAATGTGT